CCTATTTATAGCGACCTCTCTGAAGTTTCGAAAATTGCAAATGTGCGAAATAATGCGAGAAATTACGACTGTTGTAGCACTACTAGTTTTTTCGAACCTGTTTCTTACCTTAAGTATTGAACGTGGAGATTTGTTTACAGAATCTATTCCTCAGTATTATGTATTTAGATAATTTGAAGTAAAAGTAGCGCTATTTTACAAATTTCGATGTATGGTAACGGTCTCTACATCACCATTGCATCATCAGCCGATCCTGGATAACCCTGTTATTCGGAAGTCGTTTTTTCGCAACGTGCGTCTGTCAATTGGAGTAAGTCCGATTTTCATTCAAAGAACATTCAAAATTGCAAATCTTTGAAAACGGTAAACTGGAAACTCCGACGTTTCTTGTGGGAAGATAATGGTTCACGAGATGATTAAAAATTAGTAGGATACATTGGCAATTTTGTAATCTTACCTATCTGTAACAAAATAACACACGAAAGTGTGTTAGCTGCTGTAGCAAAGAAAGTTTTTGTTTGTTTTATAGTGAAAGGTTTTTGTAAAATCTCATATTTCCTCGTTCTATTCTTTGGAATAGGCTTTCTTACTTAAATAATATGTAGAATTTGTTGCATTGAATTTCAACATTGCAAAAGTAAGCGAAAAAGTCGTGTGTATATCAAGTTTACTAATCAACTTGTAGATGTTAGCTGCTGATGTTGAAGCATGTTGTGTATGTGGAAAATAGTCTGTATTTTACCAGTGGTGCTTTTACGCAGGACGTTTGTGTATTATTTCATATTTTTTACAGTTGAAACTAGAATCATCCACATCGTCTCTGTGACGTTGGTAGGTCGAACACGGCTTAGTCGCCGCTTTCAAAATAAAAGCGTTTCCTGGGCGATTGTTCATGACGCTCAACACGTGGGAAAGCGGGAGCCAGCACAAAGGCGCACAGCCGCCCACCGCAGGCACAAGGGCGGAGCTGGTGCACAAGCAGTTGAATATATGCATTACCTGCGGCCACTGGCTACGTCGGGCATAACGCGCTTTTAACACCCGCGGCCGGACTGACCGCGCATGACCACGCTTCATTAACACGGTGATGGGCGCTGGCGTTGGCACCGCGCAGCCGCTGCCGGCCGAGGGCGGGCAACGGGACAGTGTGCGTTGCGGGCGGAGGCTGGAAAATGGGGCAGTGTGCGTTGGGGGCGGCGTGCGGGCCGGGTCGACGCGACGGCAGGGAACGGGTCGGAGTAGGCGCGAGCGGGTCAGCGGGGCATAATATAAATAAATAATGTACTTCAGCTTCCGGGTCAATGACCCCCGTCTCGATCAGGTTTTTTGTCCAGTTTCCCTGATCTATTGAGCAAGTGCTGAGATGACCCCTCGTTTTCTTCCTGGACGTGAATGTACATCGAAAAAAATAAGAACCGTTGGAGTATATCAGATACATGATCCTGTAACAAGTTTCCTTGTTACAGTATCGTGGATGTGGTATACTCCAACGGTTCTTTTTTGCGGTGAATTTCACTATGCGCACGTTTTGTTGAACTCACCTTTTGCTTGTTATGGTAGGAAAAGAGGTAAGGGCGAGTTACAATTTTGTTAGCAATGCAGAAACATCATATCTGCTATTCATTTACCGATGCAAAAGATGATTTCTATAACTCGGGAAAGAAAATGTCTAGTTTTTTTCAAATATTGCTAATCTCGCGCTTTTCTAAAACTCTTATTTATTTATTTTAAACCTTTTCTCATCTTTCATATATTTATAGTTAAAATGATGGAAAGGGATTCTGGAAATCAGTAAAACGTGCGCAGATTATCTTCTCCTTCATACGTCACATACTTTTTTACTGTTTTTGACTAAATAAATATAAATATAAATATAATAAATATAAATATTATAAATATAAACAATATAAATATAAATAATATAAATATTTATAATATAAATATAAATCGTAAGTGGGAGCAGAATCCAGGCGAGGTCGTGTGTCAGAGTAGGGCGTCCGCCGCCGAGCGTACCACGATGTTGTAACGAAAGGCGAGAGGCAAACAGGACAGGAAGGAGGTTGTGCAGGGCGGGTCCAGCGGTGGATACAGGGGAGGGGGGATTCACGGGAGCCATCAAAAGGCCTAGAGTTTTCGTTTGTTACCTTCTTTTATGTGGCAAAATTGATTTAAATATTTATGTTAAAATTATGTAATTATTTAAAAAAAACAATATTGTCTAATTAAAAAAACAGTATATCATATATACATTACAAAAATAACATAATATAATAACAAATATTTATTATTTAACAAAAATCTATCCAAAATGTTCGTCAGGATCCTTTCCTGAGCCTGGTCGGGTGGAGTTGGAGGTTTATAGGTGACGAAGGACGGGGTTGAGCAGTGACAACGGACGCGGTAGTGTTGTGGGCGGTTGGTGGGGGTGGGTGCTGGGCAGCTGGAACTGCACGGCCAGCAGTTGCAGTGGAAGTGGTGGAGTTTGGGGCGCCAGGCGAAGGGGAGGGTGAAAAGTGGCTGAGAGGACATGGTAGCTGGAGGGAAGGGGCCGGCACAACGCGCCTGCTTGTCTGCGCATTTTGCGCATGCAAAACGGGCCCCAAAATACGCTTGTTGTCAAAAAGTGTTGTTTATGTGTGTGAAGCTACTTAAATTAAAGGGCGTTTGGAGCATTCACTCTTGAATGCAAAGTCATAATATCGACAGACGGATGAAGTAACAGTCATACTGCCAAATCAACGATTATAGTAAATGAGTTCTGCGAAGTGATTATATGATTCCCACTAGATCAAAATTGCTAACCAATACGTATTATGGCTTTCCCCACGATCTCCATTCATCAGTATACTGTAATTGTCGAGGTATTGTCGAACCCTGGATGACGTAGTGATTCCTTAAAGAATATTGACCCAAGGAAGGGCAAATAATGGTATAAAGGAAGGTGCTATTTGGTATTGTGAAAATCTATTCGTGTGTTTGGGAGCAATTAATATTTACTCTACTTATACTTTACTTACTAAATTTCTTAATTGGTGTCCATGGCATTGAGTGGTATTCCTGGTGGACGCAATAACAAGGGCTACCCAAACGTCTTAATGCTGTATGTGATCTGTGTGAATCTGACGTTAGAAAAAATAGTTGGCTAAAGAATCCGAGTTAAGTGATGTAAAATCTGTAATGCTCATCAGAGATTTGCCAATGCAAAAAATATTTAGAACTGGTATAGCTCGGCGAATGTCCTTTGAACGTAAAATTCCAAACGTTCAGCATTATTTCGTTTTTCGTCTTTCAGCGCGGAAAAACACACTGCGCAATTGCAATATATTTTCGTGAACAGTCTTGTTACTTCTATTTTCGTATCAAGTTTCATTTGGTTTGAAAATTATGAAATAGCACGTAGGTTCGTGTATGGTTTTCATTTCTAGTACATCAATTCATTTCACGTGGTATGAATCGGAAGACTGAAAGTAGCAATGTAGTGTACCGCCATTGCCGTAACATACCAGGATAGAGCGAGCTTTGCGCGGGCGGACTTTGAGTGGTTGAATGCACGTCTTGTCTCTTCAGGGCATTCTGCCGATCCGCACGTCGTATAGGAAGCATTCCGGGCGTAACTAACCGCTTAAGGGCGCCTTGTGCGACACCCAATGGACTTCGGGCTGTAACCCTCGCCCAGCTAATCCCGGTTCTATGAGACTAATCTCACTGCCCTCTGTGTGCTGTACAATTAGGATCTTCCGGGCTGCCCTGGTCTCGTGTGCTAAGTAAATAATTTCGCTTGCCTGGCTTTAACTATTAGCACAACTCGCTGACGACTTAGTAACGAATACTCGGCGCGTTTACGCTGTTCTCCAACTGCCGTGTATTGTTTAACGCGATTGGACTCCGTCGCTGTTTTCTGTAATCTCGTGTAGTATTTATTTGTTAATAGTATCTAAAGCCTAACAGCCAATACGTTATGTAAACTACACTTCATTTGAAACATTAATTTCTGTAATAATGTTGTTTCTTTCTGGAAACAGATTTTACTTTCTCGCGCCGGAAATCGGCAATTTTTCCACAGAAAAAAACGCTTATTGCCTCTGGTAACGAAAAAATGGGGGAAAATGTTGCTCCGATATTTAGTAAGGTACTTGCACTAATATGTTACGTTGTCAGAATTCATTGATATTAAAAATTAATTGATACTGAAAAATCGATTGTCAGCAAAATTATCTGTCCGTATATCCGTCCGCCCTTCTGTCGGCAACTAGCTCCTGATCCGTTGCGACGTTTTTCTCCAGAATTTAATTTTCCCCGATTGATCTAAACCAGGGTTGTCCAATGGCGGCACGCGATGCCGTATAGTGTGACGCGCGAAAGATTATTAGACACAAGTGAATGTCCCCGGCACCCATGTCGGGTGAAATCATTGGGCGCATAGCTCACATGCCTTGTTGGAATCAACGTTCCCTTTGATAAAAAAAAGCAAAAACAGATTAAGTTAAAAGTTTTTTGTGTTGTAAATTCTGAAATTCGTAATCATTCCAATGTGCTCAACTGCGTTATGCATTATAGAGCGTGATATTGCTCAGTTTCACCCCCGTTTGTTTGAGAGCAGCCGGGAAAACTATCGACATAAACAATACGGCGTCACGTGTGGATCGCGCGAGTATTGAAAATGTGGTCCGCATCCATATTAAATATTTTAGTTGTGGCCCTTGAGGCCTTGGAAGTTGGACACCCCTGACCTAAACAAACTCGAGCATCTGGGAATTTGAAACGTACATTATTATTTAGGCGAGTACTTTCCATGAAGCCTCAGCTACATTTTCAAAATGTTCTCAAAACTGGTTTCACTGTAGTTGATTATTGATTGTGTTGATTTATTGCAGATTTTTGACAGCTGAAAACGGCTGTTGGCGCCTCAGCAAACACAAAATATAATCAATCCAGTGCAAATTGGTGTTATAGGAAAGTGTATTAGATTGTTGAGTGCCGCGCGGCGCGTGTGTTCGCAGCCCGACGCCCATCGCGGGCTTCCTGAGCGACTACGCGTTCCTGGTGCGCGGCCTGCTCGACCTGTACGAGGCCAGCCTCAACGGCGAGTGGCTGACGTGGGCGGAGCAGCTGCAGGACGCGCAGGACGAGCTCTTCTGGGACGAGGAGGGCGGCGGCTACTACACCACCGCCCCCGGAGACGCCTCCATTCTCTTCCGCAGCAAGGAAGGTAGGCAGCCGGGCGCCCCTCCGCGGCCCCAGCCCCTCGTCCCTGCCCGCCGTGCGCCGACACCCGCCGCACCCAATAACTGCCGTGAACCTGCTTTGCTCGCCCCCTTTCCCGCCCTTTCCCCGCCCCTCCCGCCGTTTCCCCTGCCGCTCCCCGCTTTCAATCCGGCCCTTTCGCCGCCCATTTTCGCCCTTTCTCATTTTTCTTCCGCCCTTTTGCCGCCCCTTCGCCGTCTCATCTCGCGCCCTTTCCCTGCCTTTCTTCTCTCCCTTTTCTCCGCCCTTCGCCGTCTCATCTGTGCCCTTTCCCTGCCTTTTCTCCTGCCTTTTCTTCCCCCCTTCGCGCCCCGTTTCGCTGCACCTCCCGCCCTTTCTCCGCCTCTTTCGCCGCCCTTTCGCCGATCCTTTCGGCCGCCCTTTCGCGCCCTTTCTGCGCTTGTCCTGCCCTTTCCCTGCCTTTCCTGCCCTTAAGTCCCTGCCCTTGTCCTGCCCTTTCCCTGCCCTTTCCCTGCCGGCTTACCAACTGCCACTGGCCCTTCCTGCCTTTCCTTGCTTTCCCTCCCTTTCCTGCCTTCCTGCCTTTCCCTCCTTTCCTGCCCTTTTCCCTGCTCTTGTCTCTGCCCTTTCTCTGCCCTTTCTCCGCCCTTTCTCCGCCCCTTTCCTTCCTCCCCTTCCTCGCCTCTTCCCCCGCTCTTTCGCCGCCCCCTTTCGCACCGCCCTTTTCCGCCGCATCCCTTTGCTACCTCTTCGCCTGCCCTTTGCCCATCTCTTCGCCCGCGCCCCGCGCCCGCTTCTGCGCCCACGGTGTCCCTCCCTGTCCTCACACGCCCGCTGTATCCCTCTTCCGCCCGGCCCCCTCCACTGCCCCGGCCCCGCCTTGCCCCTGCCCTTCTCCCGCGTTCGAGCCCGTGCGCTGTCCATCCATCATCCGTAGCGGGGCGCCTTCCGCCTTTTTTCCCTTCCTCCTCACGTCTTACACTTGAGGAATTGTGACGCGATTCATTTACTGACTTAATAATAGTTATTTACAAGTGGCTAAAAAAACCATTATGAGCAAGTTAGCTGATTATATAGAGGTTCGGTGTCTCGAACTATAATTACTAACGTGCTCATTATTTGTGTTTTAACCACATTTAATGAATGTGTTATTTTCTCTTTATCATATTTTATTTATTTTATAACGATGACTTTTATGACTGGTACTGGCTTCATCAGTACCCTTTATTACATCCGATATATTGATCAGTCTTTGTATTCACTGCAGGAAGCGTTATTATTTTGAATGTAATAAAGAACCGTTTAAGCCACATATAAATAAAAACAGCATATAAATTTGATTGTATAAGATTATTAAAATATTTTCTTCAACGTTTACCCGGTGCGGATTAAATGTTACCATTTAATAATGAAGAAGTGAAAAAGTTCATTTATGTTCAATAATGAGATACATGCGTTATTATTGTTATATTTCATTATGTCTAAAACTTTTAATGTTGCCAAAACATTTCAAGGTATAGAACAGCCTGTTAAACACTTACTCGCTGCGAGCTGGTCTCTCGGTAAAAACACTCATTTAGATATATGTTAATTGTCGTATGCGGACTACAACGATTTGCTCCCTTTCTTTTGCTTGAGAAATGTTCATGTGAATCTCGCTCAATAAAATGGAATTTTAATCAAAATGTTTACTGAGCACAATACGTATAAACTAATTAATTTTTAACTTTTTTGTTTTTGTTTTGCAGTATTTTATGAAGGCATTATATATTAAATTGCTTGTTATTGTTCACTAATGACTAAATCATGCTTATTTAAATTCCTAACGAATAAAGTCATGGTCTGCGTATTTAATGCTCTAAGGATATGGTGCTTTTCGTTTACTTTTGAGATAAATTCACAATCACATTCAAATTGAGGAAATTTTGTTTAAACGACACTATTTTTCGATATTATAGGGAATTGTTTTAAATTGTTATTTATTTTGTAATTGTTGTTAACTTGCTAGATTATTCCAGTCTTCACTCAGCCAATTAAAGTTGTAAATTCTGGACAAATATTTTTTAATTAAAAACTTTCCTTCTACGTAAACCAAATCAACATCTTTCTAAAAAATATAAATTGCAATTTAAAAAAATAAATTAATCGGCGATCTCATTGCTGTTGTCTCTAAATAATTTCATCAGATCCCGGAAATATGATAACCTTAAGATCTTAGTAAGATATGTCATTTGAAATCACACTTGAATGCTGTTACAACCTGTTGATGCTGAACCGGTTGGCGTATCTTATCGAGTTTGTCATTTCAGTTTTCCGACCATGCAACGTAGCCGTGTTAAGGAGTGGAGGCTTAGGATCCCTTATATAATCCTATCTCCCCAAACCCCATAAATGTGATATTGCTGAGTAAGGGATACCCTCCAAGATTTATTTCAAATAGATCTAAAACGAAAAAAGTAAAATTTTGTGAAGTTCAGACGGTAACTCGCAACACTTATCTATTTCCTGATTCATCCACTCTGCGTAAAACGAAAACTGTGTGTTCTATGCTCTCGGTTCATGGTTTTCAGGCCCTTAGAGAAACTAGTTACATTTAATTAACCATAATCTTGAAAATTATACTGTTTTGAACCGCCTATTGCTTTTGAAAGCATTTAGCTCTTTTAGGTGCCTCTACTCCATAGTACGACTGCACAAAACGTGCAGAATCTCAAAGTTGATATAAAATCAAATTGACTATTTGATATTCTGCAATTTAATCGAATGCGTTTTTTGTCTTTCTGGCCATTGCATTATACAGGCCTCGTGAACTGTGCGGGTAAACATCCTAATATTCCTAAGCGTTTCGTAACAAAGAAACTCGAAGCTATATTAGGATGTTTACCAGCGCGTATTACGAGTCCTATATTACGCAATGGCCAGATCAGGGCTTCCCCATTCGCAGTATGAAACTAAATTCGTTTTTAAAATAAAGATTTACAAGGGGGATTGTGTTCGTACGGGAGCAGGTAGTATTTTTAAATGTACAAAAAAAGTCATCTATAATGCCATAGGGAATCAAAGCAAATTAATTTAATAATTTTACCTCAGGGCTCTATAGTTTGCTAAAGATTTTACTGGATAAATTAAATGTCAACATGCCACGCCATATTTACAAGCATTTTAATTGTCGTAATGATTTAACCGTAATTACTAATAAAATTGCTCTTTTAATTTAACTGAAAATTACTATCAATACGTTTTTAGAATCTGATTCTCATTTCATAGGCACATATCCCATTTGGGCATAGTACTGAATACGAAGAATAAACTTCCGAATGTTACTTCTGAATCCTTTCAGTCGCCTTCAAATTCGGATGAATCTGATCAGTCTCTTTCTACAATAATCGGAATTATGAGTCTCTCATTATGTTTATTTCAGAATGATTTCTCTGATATGACATTTGCTCTTTCGCATCAATTTTGTCATGTTATTTGTTTATGTGTTTTAACATGGGATTGCAATTTGTTGCTGTAGAAACATTTACAATGATACGAATTATAACTTACAGAAAACTCTCAACTTACTTTTACTAACTATAGCTTATAAATGAACTGTCGTGAGCTTATTAAGGAACTGTGTTGAAATCGGGTCTTATGACACCCTCAGCCAAGCCTTCTAATCTGGGGATTGTACTCGACTTTGAGCTTCCTCTTTCAACCTTCTGTCTTTTACTACAATATTCGCATCCGACAACTGTACATAATAATATTCCTTAAGTAACATTCCTTAAAATAAAAAATAAATACAACAGAAGAAGGATATTCATAGTGAAAATGCTTAAGATGTTCTAGCTTAGAGACTAGAGATACGTTCGCGTCCCAAAACTGTGAATTTAGGTCATTACAAACACCTAGCACGTATTCCTTCCGAAAGCACTTAATGTCGTCAGTTCCTTGTTGTAAATTTATTGCATGATAAAATCCAAAATTGTAGGACCCTCGGTAAAATTCATCATTTCTTTTCCTGTTCATCTGGGTCTTTTAAGTTTTTCTAACCCCGGAAACCAAGACGCGATTTGGGTTTCATGTAATCTCCTTTTCAAATTGTTAAATATTTCTGAGCCCCTTCTACCATGCGTTCCCGAGGAGCAAATGCTTGAATACATTTGCCTTTCACAGATTCGTGTCTCACTGCTGCGTCGCTGCTATCCAGTGTTTCCCAATTTCCGCATTCAACGTAATCTTATTTCAAGTTACTAACTCGACTAGTTGGGAAGATTGAATCCTGCCAGTGATCTGATCCAATGTGATTGCTATTCAGGAACCTAGTTTCGGAATGATGCGACGTGATTTCATTTTAATAAGCAGATTGCTGTAAATCTAAAGTTAGTGCTGTGTTTCGGATTTCAAATTTTATAAAAAATGTGAAGCTTGTTTTTGTTTGGCAACGTTATTTCAGTTTCGCCGTTTATGTGAGTAACGCCTCATGCTTAAACAATTTCTTGTTTTCAGGGTCACTGCACGTATCGTTGCTTTGTCAATTTGTCTTTCGCTCGTATAGTTTTGTGTCCAGTAGAAAACTCAACACCGCCCGGCTTCGCATTTGTCTTCATATTATTGTATTCTCCCACTTCGAATTGGATTTGCTTTCTTTCCTGTGCTGTTTGTATTTCTGAATGTTGACCCCGTGACTTTTCGGGATGAAACGGAGTCCGTTGTTTGTATCACACACACACACACACACACACACACACACACACACACTCGCACCATCCGGTTCCATCTTTCTGGTGGAAGGTTGCACGATCCTGCTACCTTTGAGAGACACAAAAACTCGGGACCGTTTTACGAACCTGAGGTGTAGGTTTTTGCAGTGATCTCTACCGTTCGCTGTTCTAAGTGTAGGAAAACATTCCTTGCCCCCACCTACGTTGGCTTCGTCGTTTGCCTTTCCGGGTTAGGTTGAGCCCGAAATAACGTGGCGGACGTGACGGTATGAGGGCGTGTTCTAGTTACTCGATC